GGGGGGGAACTGGGTCGACAGTGTCCCTCCCTCCTTTCCCTTTTTCATTTAAATTAACAAAGAAACATGGACTTCCACAGAGCCAGCATTCAGCTGGGCAAGTTCCATTAGCAGCAAATGTTCAAGCAAAGGAAAAAAAAAAAAAAAAAAAACCACACACACAGACAAAAGAAAACTCCATCCAGGTGCACAGCTGTGATTCACGTGGAAATTCCAGGAGATGAATCATGTGCAGAGCCGGGACTTTCAGAGGCTTCTTTCTCAAGTGTCTTCAGTGAACATTTCAGTCTCAAAAATCTGAGTCCATCTGTCAGCTGTAGGAAATGGGTTTTCCATCTGCTCTGCAGTTGGGCTTGCTTGAAGGGTCTACCTGATTGTTCCTAGTACTAGATGCCAGAAAACAAGGGCCACGCCCTCCAGGGGCTGTTTGATGCAGCAGCAGCAGCAGCTTCTATAGGTTAAACTCTTCCCAACAAGCTGGACCTGCAAGGCAGAAGGCAGAGGACCACTTGCATTGGCTAGATTGTCTTGGTTTGTGTTCATCTCTCCTCTATATTTAATGTATTTTTACATAGTTGAAATGATAGTGTGGGGATCAAGGACTGGAGTCTTGATAGTCCTTCAGGTAGATTGCTAGCTCCTTAGAGAGTTGTTAACGGAGACAGCCAAAGCACTGCTTATAGTAAATCTCTATCTTGAGTGGTTGGTTTCATGTTAAAACCAAAAACTGAACACCATTAATGGCAACAAGCATTTATATGTGTGCCACACATTCATGATACACAGGTTTATGTCTTAGGTAGGGCTTCGGTTGCTGTGATAAAACACAATGATCATAATCAGTTTGGGTGAAAGGGTTTATCAATGGCTGACACTTCCACATCACAGGTCATCATGAAAGGAAGTCAGGGCAAGCATCTGGAGGTCAGACTTTGCTCCAAAGGAAAAAGAAGAGGGCTGCTTACTGGCTTACTCCTCAGGGCTTGCCCAGCCTACTTTCTTAAAGCACTCAGGACCATCTGCCCAGGGTTGACCCCACCCACAATGGGCTGCGCCCTGTCACATCAATCATCAATCAAGCAAACTCATCACAGGCCAATCAGGGGGGGATTTTCTCGATTAGGTTTCCATTTCCAAAATTATTCTAGTTTGTGTCAAGCTGACTTAAAACTTGCCATTACAGTTGACTTAGTAGATAAAGGCAACTTTCACAATATGTTCTATGACACCTGAAGGTAAACAATAGGTGATAAGGAAGGTGTCTGTCCTTGGACATGGACTCAATATCTGCACTGATTTGTCTGAATCTGGGAACAGTAGGAAAATCGTCCATGGACAAGCAGCTCGGTGCTTCAGATCAAAAGCGCAGATGAGTTTTCAGGCAGGAACTGTCATTCTAGAGAGCTTACTGACATGGTTTGGAAAGTTTTATAGGAGCTCAATTTCTTGTTTTTATCCTTTCTGAGGTTATGAGGCCGTGGCCAGCACCTACAATGTCCTAAGATCATTCAATCATAACATAGGAGGAACAAGGGCTGAGGAGCAATGAAGTTCAAGTGTCTAGGGCAGGAGCAGCCATGGGAGCATGCCCTTGACTCACTCTCAGATAGACTACACAGTAGCTGTGAAAGAAGCACACACACACACACACACATACACACACACACACACACACACACACACACACACACACACACCACACCACACCAACACCACAACAACAAAAACAACATATGGCTGGTGACAAGAGAGCTAAGAGTGTTTGAGGAGTGTGTGCTCGAGAGCAATTTCTGTCTAGGGAGGAGAGTGAAGTCATGGTGGTATTTCGGAGAAAGGCAGAGCCCTTGGCTTAGATATGAAGAGGAAACTGTTTCTTGAGCTTCCTCAGAAGATAGTTTTAACACAGAAACCAGTCTTAAACCAAAGAACGCCTCCCACTGTGTGCACAGGATGTTTCCTCATTAAATGACTGCCATAGCAGCAACAACTAGTATTATTCTGGTGGCGGGGCTATGCCTTATAGCCCAGGCTGGCCCCAAACTCACTCTATAGGTCAGGCTAACCTCAACCTTGTAATTCTATTACCTCAGCCTCCCAAGAGCTAAGATTCTAGGGGTATGCCAACACATCTGGCTTGCAATCCTCAAACATACCTTGATCAGACAAACACTATTATTGAACATTTTTGAGTTTACAGGACTGTGAACAGATTCCTGCAGCCATGTCTGAATTGAGTTAGCACATGGCCTCCTTCACATCACATTTCTAATTCTACCATTAAAATCTTTGGCTATGTTAAATCATACATACCAATTTACTGTGTGTACAGTATACAGAGCCATGGGGAGAAAGTGTGCAATTCAGTCTTTCTTGTCAAGCCTTCAATTTATAACCCAACTACTGATTGCAACACAACAGGATAACAATAAAATAATTATGGGGAGGCTTTGATTTTTTTAAATATATCTGGATTCCATGTGTAATTCAGATACTGAATATCTTGCAGAACTGAAATGATCTCTCTACTTCTTTAAATTTACAAAAAAAAAAAACAAGTTATCACAGCAAGGTTTTAGACATTAGGAGTCTTACCAAAGGCCATGTTTGCTCAAAAATTAAATAATAAGTGATTACAAAGAAGAAACATGGAAGGCAAAGTTCCCCCTCACATATAAATTAAAGGAGTAATTCCCAACTTTTTCTTTGTTCTTCTGAGATATCATGTAGCCCTTGCTGGCCCTGGACTCTCGGTTCCCCTTGCTTCAGCCTCCTGAGGGCTGAGAATGTAAGTCTGGGCTATTCTATCCAATTCCACAGATTTGTATCTACTTCCCGGGGTTCCCTGAACACTTTTTTGTCATCCTGGATGGAATTATGTCCTGGCTGCTTTTACCTATTAAAATACCTTACGTGCTGAAAATCACAGGCACTTGTAAATGTATTTGAAAGTAGAATGGCAAAAGTTTTATTTTGTGTTGTGTCTTTAAAAACAGATAACTTGACTGACTATATTTTAAATCCAGATTCTCTCTCTTAAGCCGGGGGCAGTTGTGGGGGGTTGATATCTGGCTGTTACGTGATACCCCATCTTTAACTGACCTTAGTTTTACCAAGTATTTTTGTTGTTGCCACACCCAAATAGAGTTTTAAGATTAGAACTATTCAACAATAAAGTCTGAACTTTTAAACCAAGAAAAATAAGTTTTTTAAACTGTGTTTAGCTGTACCATGGGGGTAATCTCAATTCCATATTCTATTACATAATAAGTGAAGAACTGCAGGCATGGCATTATCTGCCTGCGTAAAAAAAATAAAAAGCAATAAAACTAGATGATGGCAGTGAGAACCTTAAGCCACAAACCTGAAGATAAGACTCTGCCAACTTGGGCAGTAGTCAGGGCCCACCCACAGAAGGCACCTATATGGCTTCCTTGAGCTGAAACTGACGCTTCCAACTCACCTTAAAGACTTCCATCTGTCCTTCTCTATGTTATTTTCAGGACCTTCACTCTCATATGAAGCCAAGTAGAGAGCTGCAATCAACCAAAGGAAAGAATGCGTTACCATTGAAGCCTTCTCCTGATACCTTAACCCCCACGGTTAGGAAGACCAGCTCTACTTGCGCCTAACCTCCAGCACACCTTTCAGATACACTGGGTTAGGAGTCATGAAAAACACAAAACAGCGCTTTGCTTCTGATTAGCCATCTCAACAAAACCCCAGGACTCTGGGCTGAGAAGGCACTCAATTAATCAAGAATCAGGAGGCAAAAAGCTTTCAATGAGATCCATACAGTGCTGTCGAAGCATTCAGATTTATATTCTTTACAAAAGAAAGGGTCATGGCTCTTCCTTGGCACCCTCTGCACTCTAATAAAAATCATGTGTGGGTTGTTTAAATCAGAAAGAAAACCATCTCGAAATTGTAAAAGTTGTTGGTAATCTTATTCATAGAGATGAAAACAATCAAGTCCCCTCACCCCCCACCCCAACAGGCAATATGAATTCAAAATGGCGGCTGGGCAGGCACCACCAACACACTATGAGGATATAACAATCCAGTAGAGTAAGTTTCCAGATCTTCTACAAACTCTACTGGTGAATCTTCCTGTGTAGAAACAATTATTTTTCCTGCCTCCATTGCCCGGTGCTCTAACAAGTCAAGACTTTCCACAACTTTCTGAAATACTCTTCAACAGCCTTCCACTTATGCTCATCACTTTGCACAATAGGCATTAGGAAGGATGCCCAAATGTACTATGTTTGGCTGATTAAAACATTTCAGGGGTAAATCATGAGACTTTCCATGCAACAGGAGAGAAAAGGGTGGATCAGCTCAGAGGTCTGGCTTCAGACTTGAGAGGCAACCAAGTGCAGGCATTTATACACAGGATTTGGGGGGATTCGGGGCAGGTTCCAGCTAAAGGCCTTACCATCTTCACTGAACACGGGCACTGAGAGCAGGTATTGCATGACCTTCCGGTCTCGTTCAAATGGACACTCCACCTGTTTCCACGTCATAAACTCACTCACTTGTTTGGCCAGTTCCCAAAATTTCTGAAAGAGAATTAAAGAATTTTAGGGCAATTTTCAAGAATTGGCTTGCAAGATAACAATTCCATTTGAAATGCACCCAGTTTTGGAACTCCAGAACCATGGTCTCTTCTTAATAAACACTATATTTGCTAGCTAGGGAGGTTCAGATTTACTCACATTCACTCACATGACAGTGCTGATAGGGCTGCCATGGCTTCTATGCCACTCGGTGGTGTTCATTTCTTACAGGCAGTAGGGTAATAACAAATTTGTTCTGAGCTGTGAACCTGCCATGCTCTGGCTGGAGCACTGAGGAACAATCCACTCCCACTCCTCTGCTCTGGCTTTTGTTTCAGTTTTTTAGTTTTTGAGACAGGCTTTCACTGTTTAACACTGGCTGCCCTGAAATTCACTATGAAGATCAAACTCACCTCAAACTTGTGGTAATCCTCCTGCCTCTGCCTCATAAGTGTTTAGATTATGGGCCTGTGCCACCATCCCTGATTGTTCCTCTAGATATTTGTACCCTACTTTATTCCACTCACCTCAAAGTTGACGTGGCCATTTGGAAGGCGGTTGGCACAGCCCTCATTGAGAAAATAAATATCTTTGATTAAGAGACTGAAGAATGGTATCACAATCTAGAAAGAAAAAGATTCAGGGTTGGCTGAGTAAATAAAACATTTAATCTCTTGTTCCAGATAGAAGCAATTAATGAAAAATATTAACTTGGATTACGTGGAAGGCCCCAGTGAATGAGGGTACACTGTTCTGTACACACCACACTACAACACTCACTACCTTACACATCTTAGCCCATGATGCAAATCATCAATACCTAAGCAGAGTAGAGACTAGCACTATTGACACGTGGATGGGTAAATGAATACTTTCCATACAGTTTTTTCCTATTTTCTTCAATATTTAACTTGATAAAATTTAAAGGTTCTTGCCAAAATGAAAGTATACAAAAGAACTCTATTCATTTTGTGGCCTCCAAATTATAGCAAAGTTTTAAAGGCACGGACCCATTCCCTTGCTGGCTCCCTTTGTCATCACTGAGGCATCTATATTTTAGTTGAAGTTTGCTGTTTTCTTTCTTCTTCTTTTTTTTTTTTTTGTAGTTGTTCTTGTTTTGTATTTTATCCTTGAAGCCATTGTTCAAGATAACTTGACAGCTGAAGGTTTTAAGCAACAGTTGCTACAATTTCCTGTTGAAGAAACCTGGCTGTGTGAGAGAACAAGTCAGTACCTGCTGTCCTGGAAAAGCCCCTTGAAAGGACTTGGCACCACTGTCTGTTGCCAAGACAGATGCGCCACAGGTGAGGGAGGGGTAGAAATGTGTGAATTAAAATTAAAGGCTGTTCAAAACATAGTACTCTTCTCTAATGATACCTTCTTGGCCTTGATTCCTTGGTTTAAGGGGGTGGTACTTAGCGGTTAACCTAAAGGAGCAATCTTTAAAAGTATCCTATGTCTGACCACACCCATTGAATACTGAGATCAAAGTTCAGACACAGTAATTTTTTTTTCTCAAATGCAACACATTTGAATCAAAAAGTTCTGCAAGGTAAATAATGCATCAAACAGATTATTTGGGAAATTCTGAAAACCCCAAGATCAGGTCTTTGAAGTCTCCTAAGCCCATGACTTCTGAAGGTGAAAACAAACGTTTTGGCTCCCACACAAACAGTAGGCATTAACTCTCTTCTAGAGAGAAAATCTAATTTTCTGCTTGAAGGTGTCTTCAAAAAGCCAAAACACCTTTCAAATGTTTGTTCCATTGATCTCTGAGAATAATCAAATTTATCTTCAGCTTCATTAGCACCCCCAACTATCTTTTATTTGCTCTTGTCTGTGAAGGCCCTACAGCAGGATTAGTTGTGTGTGTGTGTGTGTGTGTGTGTGTGTGTGTGTGTGTGTACACTTCTTCCCCCTCTGATGTTATGCACTATCATTGTACAGTGCTAGAACTAAGAGCAAGACAGATTTGAACACTGCCTTTTCCAAGGAAGCCTTATGGCTGGGAAGTGCTGGGCTATAGACTCCTCAGACATCAGTTGAAAAACTGAATCTACAACTGGCTAGTAATAAAAGCTAGGGGTTGGCTGAAGGTAAGGATTTTGTTTGCAGGTTTTGTTTTGTCTTAAATGTATGTGCTGTTATTTTTGGTATGGCCTAGGAGACACATATCTTACATTTTTAAGTGGCTGGGAGAGGGCATCAAAATAGTGGCTTCAGGGTACATAAAAAAATCCTATGAAATTTAAATGATGGTGACAACAGTGTTTCACTGGAGAATGGCCATGCTCATGCATCTAGACAATGGCTGGGTCTGTTTTCTGCCACTACCCAAGTTGAGTGTGCACTTAGAAGGCAATAAACACACATCACCCTGTGACAGCCCCGGGGAAATAGAGACACAGTGAAAATCAAGAAGTAGCAGTTTACAGTGCAGCAGCTTTTAAGCAACAAGTTTCTGTGCTGCTCCAGTCCTTGGGGCTGGGCTATGAGCCTCATTTACCGTCTTGGATTAGTACTTAGACTAACTTCTCAGTTCTTGTCACTGTCTATAAACCATGGGAGGCAGAATGGTTCCTTCTGTGAAGTTTGCACTCAGTGTGCCTACAAGATGCTCTGCTTCCAGGAACATGGCAACACAGTCAGCCCCTTTCGGGGCACTTGGCTGCTCTGTTTCTCATGCCAATGAGCTTTGAATTGAACAGTAAAGAGGAGAAGAAAATAGAAACTCCAGATTGTTGAGGTAAATAAAGAGAATAAGTCTTGATTCTGTTAGGTCTTGACAATATCATTAGAGGGAGAACTTCTCTCTCTCTCTCTCTCTCTCTCTCTATATATATATATATATATATATATATATATATATATATATA